ACCCCATTTTTACAGAAAAATTAGCCAGGTGTGGTAGCACGTACCTATAGTCCTAGCTACTCTGGAGGCTGAGGTGAGAGGATGACTCGAGCCCAGGAATTTGAGATCATGCCACTGGTCAACAGCCTGGGCAACAGAGCGAGACCCCTTCTCTTTGGGAAAAAAAATAAAGATAGGGGGTATAAAGCCCTTAGTGCCAAACCTGGTATATAGCATGTGTTCCATACATGTCATGCTGATTCTTAGTGAATGTTGAAGCTGGCCCTTATGATGAAAGCAGCACAGCCCATCCCTGTTTCTTTATGAACCTTCAGAACCAGCAGCCTGAGGTATGTTAAGTATCAGGGAGGGAAAAAGAATCATTTTCATTTACTCAACACCTCCAAATATCAAGGCTCATATCTTAAGTATGTCATCTCATTTAATTATCACAAGGGTCCTGTGATGTGAATTTCTGTTGCACCTTTCTTGCAAATGAGGAAAATGAGACTCTGAGGACAAAGGAATTTTCCCAGCGTCATGCAGCTAGCAAGAGGCAGCACTGGGTTTGATGGGTTTCAGAGCTCATGTTTGAACCATGTGAAAATACCCAAGGACGCTTTTTTTGCTTTTAAAATCACCCCTTGGGATTCTGTTTCTACCAATAGAAGCATAGCGTAGCTGATACCCTCCCTTTATCAGGAGGTCTTATTTATCTTCCTCTTTCCCTCCTACCCACTGTCTCCCCCCATCCCAATTAGCAGCCTGGAAATCTTCCTTTCTTTAGCCCTCCCCATGCTGACAGTATTTTAACCTTTCAGTGCCCTCTTCCCTGATGTGGTGAACTGTATGCAGACGGACAACTTGGAACTGAAGAAACTGGTGTATCTATACTTGATGAATTATGCCAAGAGTCAGCCTGACATGGCCATTATGGCTGTCAACACCTTTGTGAAGGTGAGCAGGAGCTTGATGGAAGTGGAGGCATAGGATGCTCACTGCTCCATCTCCCCTCAGTCTGGGTTGGCACTCTGTGGCTCTGGATGAAAACACTCAAGCTCCTTTCTAGACCCTCAAACTGTCTCCACCTGCCTGGCCTAAGAGCCTGTTCCTCCAGCAGAGGGCTCCCACTCTCTCCAGAAAGTCAGATGCTAAACACCCCCATCTTACTCAATCCATGGGAGGTAGTACCAGGCCTTTTGATCCCCTCATACTCCCAGGGGGTGGCCCATTGCCCTGCATACTTTGCCATGGCAGGATTTGGCAGGCGGCTGAGAGCTTCTGTGTTTCCCTTCTAGACTGTTCCTTTCTATGTTTTTGTCCCCCAGATTGACTTGTCATCTCTGTGCACCTTTAGAACCTTAGCTCCCCTAGCCTTATCAGTGCTCAGATATGAGGAAATGAGGGTTTCTGTGGCCCAGTGGAAAGATTGAAGGGTGGGGTGCTAGATGGATCTAGGTTTGAATCAAAGCTCTGCTCTGATGAGACTGAGTGAGCTCCCAAGTTTCCTGAGAGCCTCAGCTTCATCACTTGTAAAATGGGGGCCAGTGTTGTCCTTCTCCTGTGCAGAGCCCCTGATGTGTTATGTGGCAAATGTTAGGAATGTTAGGTGTGGCTGTTACATAGCATTTGCCTTTGATACTATTGACTGCAGTTGGTGGAGATCCCACAGCAGCCATCTGATGTTGTTCAGCCCATCAGGGCTCAGAGCAACGGGCCAGGGAGAATATGAAGCCACAGACAGTCCATCCTGTCCCTGCCCCCAACCAATGACCGTTTCCCCTCAGGACTGTGAGGACCCCAATCCCCTCATCCGAGCCCTGGCTGTGCGGACCATGGGCTGCATCCGCGTTGACAAGATCACAGAGTACCTGTGTGAGCCACTCCGGAAGTGCCTAAAAGATGAGGATCCATATGTGCGTAAGACGGCAGCTGTGTGTGTGGCCAAGCTCCACGACATCAATGCTCAGCTGGTAGAGGACCAGGGCTTCCTGGACACCCTTAAGGACCTCATCTCCGACTCTAACCCCATGGTAAGCCACTGCCACACATTGTGCCACCTTCGCGACCTGGGTTCCTTGGGAAGACCTTGGCAGTCCCCAGTTTCTAGAATTTAGAGCCCTACTGGGTGCACGAGTTGTTTTTGTGCCTTGTAGTGGTTCAGGCACCATCTTGAAGTGAGCTATATCTGAGATCCCTTCTCCTCACCCT